CTTTCAGTGCATCATGGTTTTCTATTGATTCCCTTATCGATTTGTCCTTCGAAAAGGTGCTGTTTTGCTATTGATCAGACTATTGAATCTCTTATTGAATGGACGTCTGTTAAAATCAACTAGAAATTATTGAAGAAAAAGTCTCCTTCAATAACACCAGAAAATTATTGATTAGAATCAATAGCCGATGCTCAGGGACCGGAACCGGGCGGGAATCTCAGGGTCATCCTCTTCGTCAAAAATGTAAAGCTCACCGGGGTCCGATTCACCCCCCAACTCACCTGGATCGATTTCGACTTCGGTTTCAACCTCCTCGTCGGACAACGCACCGCTTTCAGCGATCCCCAAACCGGAGGCCTTCGGGGAAGCTCCTAAAATCCCTTGGCTGCTCGAGCGGGACCCCACGGTTCGCACCTCGAAGGTGCTACGCACAAACCCCGAGGGGGCTGAAGAAGAACTCGAAGACCCAGCCGGCCTATTTCCCCGAACAGGCTCGTAATCCCCACTCAAATACAGCGCCCTCAGCTCCTTCGATCGCCTCGTCTTCTTTCCGCCGCACTCACGGCGAGACATCCAAAAGCGGCTATGGCCGCCCGAAGGCCATGGCGCGCGAGCTATGAGCTACGGCTGATAACCCCGATTCTTTTGGTTTTCAGCCTTGAGCCAAACGTATAGTTTGGCAGTCCATGAGATCGATGGAGTGAGGGTGTATTTACCCTCCTTTCGGGTGGTTTTACCTCAAACCCAAAACGTATGGATAAATGGCTGTGTCTTGTTTTGGGGAGACCCTTTGTTAGCAAAAGGGAACCCCTCCCACCCCTCACAACACAGACACACCCTGCACTGCCTGGGTTGGGTTCGAACTGGTTCTTGCAGCTAAATGAGGACCCAAAACAACCGATTCCTAGTGGCCATGCGGAGTGAGGTGATTCTACCTAGTAGGAGGATAGAAACAGGTTTGGTGGGAAAAGGACCAAAGGACAGAGCAGTGGCAGCAGTGGAAGGATTGGCAAGAGGAGGAGAAGAAGAAGGCCTATGCCAAGAAATCATGGGAGGATTGGCAGTGGGAAGAGAAGGGGGAGGAGGAGGAGACTGCTGCCCCATGGAAGAAGAAGTGGGAGGATGAGGAGCCTCCCCGTGGACAATGGCAGAAGAAGAGGTGGTTTCATTAGGGTTATAGTCAAGCCTATATGGGTGCTTTGTTGATGGTTCTAAGAAACAACACGCCAAGATGTAAGCCAGAACGAAACGCTGCCAAGCAAAAGTCGCCATCTTTCTGCAGGGGCTGGAGCAGCACTGGAAGACAATTTCAGACACGTACCGGACCAATAAAGGCACGTGCCGGGAGATAAGCAAATGCAACCATCTTATGGCTAGAGTGAGGTGGCATTTACTCTCTAGCTGGTAGTAAAACGTAGTTAATGGACACGAACATAAGCGTCCTTTTTAGGTTAGTTTGGTAAAAATAGATGGCGCTGGTTTAGATGGTTTTGTTCCATTTACCAGGGCCATCTATTTTCCCCAAAAGGCCACCTATGCTCACGAACACTCCTTGTACCCATCTTGTCGTAAATGTCAGCTGTGGGTTTCGGGTCGCTCTTGGCCGCGTCTTCCGGATTTTGCCGCGAGGGGCTTCGAGTGGCGTCCTTCCGGAGCGTGGCCAGCCTGAGTGGGGGCTTGCTGGATGCCTAGGTTCTTGAGTGGTGCCCTTTTAGGGAGGGTTCCCCTACTAAAATAGATTACAGAAAAAAGGGTGCCCTTATTCTAACCTCTCTACTGAGTAAGTTATAACCTGTTGGTTATTTGCCTGTTGGCTTTCAACCATGGTTATGTCCTGCTGGTGCTAGTTTTTTTTTGGAAGCCACCAGTTGGATGGTTTGTCTTGGGGCCATTCCCTCATTCTCAGAAACCCTGCGTGCTTCGCGCGCCGATTGCAAGAGCATCCACCGATCCCACGAGCCAAAGATATTCGTGCCCTGGAGGTGACACCTCCTCGCAGCCCGGATGAATAAACCCAGCAGTGATTAATATGGGGGTGTTCGCCTCCAACAGTGATTCATCCCCTCTGAAACCAGAGACACACTCATATTGATAAAGAGGGGTTTATTAATCCTACTTTGCATCGACGCAAGCAGGGTTTCCGAGAATGTGGGAATCACCCCGAGAAAAACCATCGAACCGGTGGTTCGATTTATTCAGGAATCCTCAGGCCCTGAGCACCAGCAAGTGATTCTGTGGAGCAAATCCTGCAAGGGGATATTGCCTGAAATGGTCATGATTCCTTTCGGTTGGGTGGCAGTCGTCTCCAAAACACTCAGCTCCACTTGTGAAGTTTGGCCCAACAGCTTGCGGATGCGTTCCGGGCTGTTCCGTCCCAATGTTTCAACTTCTTGCCAGTTGTTTTGGGGCAGCGGTTGGGGAAAAGGTGGAGATGAGAAGTTGCAATCAGTTCTGCGGTTTTTAACGGTTCTGCGGATGGTTATCTGTGTATCCAGAGGGTTTCAGCCATTCCAACTGGCGCAACTGGCACTTTTGCCCCTCTGCAGGTCTGTGGTTCTTTATGTTCCGCATTCCTATCCCAGTGATTCCATTTCTTTGTAGGGCAACCAAGGGAACCAGCCTTTAAAAAGCCCAAAGGGAGGTGGATAGGGCTGCCTATGCGCACTGTCTCAGCCCAGGCTCTTCTCGATCTGAGCTTGATCTGAGCTGCCGTGGCACGTGTGGGAGGTTCGTTCCGGGTGGGCTTGGAACGAGCTCACCGTGTACCAACATCCGCTGCGGGCAAATTCGACAGGACTTCCTTGCTTCTGGTAGAGTTTTTTGGAAAAAGAACGGGCGCAAGAACACTTCTGGCAAACACGCAACGCACCACTAAGACGAAGAATCCGATCTCGCACTTTCATCAAGAGGGGCCCCTCAAAGAACTGCGGGTGCGCTTTGAGGCGGATTCGAATCTGCCGGCGACGCAGTCAAATCCTGAAACGCGCGGGAGACATTTCGAGCGAAATGTGTGTCGAAGATTTTGGCGTTTGGCGCCATATAGCCACGGTCATAGCAACCTTTTCGTTGGGATTGGTAGAGATACATGGTCATCAGCCTCTGAAATGAATATCCTTTGTTGTCCTTGTTGGCTTTAAAGGGAATCTATCACTACTGGACATACTTTCTCATTTTTTCAGGGGGAACAAGCAAACGGAAGTATGTAAAGGTTCTCCTCAAACTATGGCCCACTTTTCTTTGATAATTATAGATGTGTTCTCTGTTTTGGCGCTCTTTTGGCACTAGTCTGGACCCGTCAAAATGCCTTGCCACGTTACTACGCTTCAAAGGGAACTTTATTCTTTGTGCAGTCCCACAGTTGAGACTGCGGATGTGCAAAAGCTTGTTTCTCCCGCACTGGGATGTCTGGTTTCTCCCAAGTCTTCACGGTAGTCAAAGGGTTTGATCCTTTTTAACTGCAAGGCTGGTTGTGGGAGGAATAATTTCTTGGAAATTGGACGAGCCAGGGCCAGGTGTCTTGTATTGAGGCGATGTGTACGCCGCAGGAGAATGACTCAAGTTTTGGAGGTCCGCATCCGATTTGTTGAGACAACCCCACATGAGCAATTGACACACATTGCGGTCCGGGAAAATTGACCTGAAGAACCCCTGCTGGATGTTCGATTCGCCAAGTCCCCAAGGGATATTGACAACTCACGCCTAGTGCGGGCTACAAGGATGGGCAGTACCGGGAAAAAAAGAAAACAACATGTTCTAGATTCTGCCAGTCAAGGTGAACAAACAGCTGTCCCAGCATCAATCAGCTTCCTTCTAGTAGTTTAGTGCACGGTGGGTGGGAACAAGTTGGCGGTTTCCCAGATAGCCTCTAAAAGAATCAGCGGCTCAAATCCTTAAACTGGATGGACGAAATCCTGCACCATGTTGATACCATGGGAAGCATGTTTTGCTAGTATTTGTAGGGGAATGATCATTCCAGGGTCTCTTAGGTGGCGCAGGCTTCCGTCCATCCACAGTATTTCCGGCAAGAGAGGCGTCCATACAAACCTTCTTCTACGCAAGTGTTGACTACTTACTAACCTCTGCTTAAGTGCCGACTATGAGTTACCGCCCAAACTTCATGTACCCAAGTTTTGAAGCACATTGACATGATTTGAACATTGCTTATTCTTCGCTGGGCACACAAAAAATTGGGGCCTGGAATTTGCACCATGTGCAGGATCTATGTTTGTGGGAAGGCTAGGTGTTTCTACACATATCGCAACGGCCAATATTTACCGTGTACCCAAGTGGGGAGGGCGTTTGAGGGAACTCACCAAGAGGCAATTAGGACTCGCCGAATTTCCATGTTGAGGACACAGTGGATCTTCACTGCGGCTCATATCCATCAAACCGGGTGAACTGAAGGGATTCGGGTCTGTTGCCTCTCTCTAAAAATCCAGCCTCCGAAGGCCCGTTTTTTTCTTGGTCCCCGAATCAAAGCTTCTAACGGAGGGTCCCTAACCTGATGCTTCGGTTCATTCCGAGTGCCTGCAAAGCTCTGCTGACATGCGAAGACGGCGGGTTCAAGAAGCTGGCACATGCAGGCGACACCAGGAGGATTCTGCAAAACAGGGCGTGAGCTGATATGATATGTGCCGTGGTCCAAAAGACTTTCATACTTGAGGCTGCTAGGAGAAGGGTCATGGACCACTCAATAGGGAATTGTCAGACCACGAAGAGGGAGTTTCGACATTCAGGCAAGACAGAACATTGGACAACCTGAAAGGAATTCAGACCACCAATTCGATCGCCAATTTAGGGAATTCACACAACCAATAGGGACTTGGGCTTGTCTCAAACTACCCCCCCAAAAAAACACACACACACACACACAACAACAAAGGATCTGGTTTCCTCTTTGTTTCCCTCACAACCACTCCAAAAGGGTCAAAAAGACGAGCCCAATGGAGACATCCGGAACCACGAAAAGCCGAGAGGGTAGGGCGTCAGTATTTCTCGCCATGGCCTGCGTGAAGCTGGGGCCAGGCAGTGGCTTATGGCCTCAGGTTCTCTGCCTATGTGAAGGGCTCACCATGAAGATCCCTTGTTTTTGGCTTTGGGCATCTGGCACGTGTTCGGATCCCCAATTTTATGGCGGGCTCATGAAGATCCTTTGCTTAGGTTTTTCCAGCGAAGGGTGCCCTTCTTAACCCTTTTTTGGTTGGGAGGGTTCGGGACCCTACTAAAATAGACGTCCTGAAAAAGGGCGCCAACTTATTCTTACCTCTCTACTGGAGGACCGAGTTGACGGTCCAAATCTTGTTTCATTTTCTGGGCATATGGTAAAATGTTGCAGAGGTGTTTGTTCTGAGCGTGTCTTGTTTTGAGGTGGTGCCTTTTGTTTGGGGCTGGTTGACCCAACGACCCCCCCCCCCCGCCCTCGTCATTTTGGGGGTCCGCCTATTTTAACACACCCAGACCCGGGGCACACAACTTAACACGGATGTGTGTGTGTCTTTGGAGGCTCGCCCCCCTGCTTTTGGGTGGAGGTTGTTTAAAGCGAAAGCACCAGTTTGGCGCCCCCCTTGAGGCGTGCCCATGCACGGGAAATGGTTTCTTCAAGGTCAGGGACACGGCCAGATGGACATCAGAGCTGGTTGAAACAAGTCCACTAACCACTTTCGAGGGCGGTTCCCTGCCATCAAAACGCATAGCCAAATAGACCACACATACACATATTATACATATACATATAGATGTATCATGCATACGTATAATATGTACATCCCCATACCAGGTATGCTCCAGCAATTTTCCTTCTAGTTCCCTCTTTCTCTTCCTCTTTCTCTTCTTTTGTTTTTGGTTTCCTCTTTCCCTTTCTCTTTCTCTATCATCTATCTGCACCTGACCTTGGGAAAGTGCTGTACCTGACCTTGCGAAAGTGTCGCGCATGCCACGAAATCTGAACCTCAGGTGCGAAAATCATGCGCCTGCCATGGAACTGGGACGCAGCAGTTCGCGCGTCCACTCCAATGCGATTCGCAAACTGCGCGACTTATCTTCCCAAAGTGACGCGCCTGTCACGAATTCTGATGCCCATGGGAGCAAAATGTTGCGCCTGCCACGAAATCTACACCTCATGTCGCCAAAAGTGCCGCGCTTGCCACGCAATTCAATCCTAGCGAAGCCTGGCGCGGCCGTGCCAGTGGGCAACTTTCGAGACAGCGGCGAGACGGCGAACCTGTGCGCGGATCACGCCAAACGCAATATGCTGCGCGTACCACACAACTCCTTCCTTCTCTATCTCCTTCTTTGCTTACTTTCCTTCTTTCTGGCACGACTCTGTTGTTTTCATTTTTTTCAACTCTTTCTTTGACAATTCGTCTTTAAATGTATATACGTGGATACGTAAATACATACGCATACACCCATGTATCTAGTACGTAGCGTTGTTGGCATTGTTATATATGCACAGCAATGCACGCATATGTACGTACATACATATATACATGCGTACATGCATACATACATACACATCTTTAAATATCTATATATACATACACATATATATATATATATATACATATGTATATATGTTTCTACATATGTATACAACACGATATACATTGAGTCGTATTGATGCCCGTTACTTGGGCGAGATCGGATCGCACCGCAGGTGTCCCGACGTGGCCGGGCGGAGCCAGCTGTGTTCGAAGCGATCGCCTAGAGGGGCTGCGGCCTTTGCCCCGCAGAACTCCAGGAGAAAATCTGAGCGATCAATACTTTGGTGCATTTTGCTTGGATGTTAGGACTAGAACTTTTTGCCAAAGGGGTTTTCCATCAAACCACTAAAAGTTAAACTTTTAGCAGGGGAGCAGAAAGCAACCGAGAAGGAGGGTACCCCGAACGAACGACTCTGTACAGGTTGCATGTTGTTGCCACCCCTCATTTTCCGGAACGGTCAACTTTTGCTGTCAGGTGTGGTAGAGGGGATGACATGGGGAGCAAGCTGACCGCAAGGGCTCTTTACTTGGGGATTGCTCATGTCAGGTTCTGGAACTTTAGTACTCTCTCTCCACAAACATGAGACCTGATAGGGGGTTCCTGCAAGAGGAAACTGATCTTCCAGATACCCTCCCACAGGTGCCATGTTACATGGAGGAGGGGAACATGTGCAGAATCTTTTGGCAAGTGAACCGGTTTCAGTTCTGTTGCTTTCCACTCTTACCAGTGAACTCTCGATTCTTTTTCTCGGGAACAGACCCTTTTGGAGATATGAAAGGACCCTCCTATCCCCAAAGAGGTTTTCAGAATCCTTTGATCATATTTTCAGGTGGCGTTAGACACTTTATTTTTTTGGTGTAGCTTTTTGCGTCTTTTTTGGAGTTGGTACCCCCTTTGTGTGGGTGTTAAAGAGACACCAAAAGGACAACCGAAGCCGTTTGGGGGTCCCCTAAAACAAGACTCCCCTTTTGCGACTAGACGGAAATCTGAACCCTCAAACCGTTGTAACGGGGGATAATTGCTTCAAAGTTATAGCGGATTTCTCCCAGTTTGAAGCGTTGGAGGGAGGAGGATAATGTTGATCCCAGACGAATCAACCCCAGTTTACAAATAGGGGGTTGCTCCCCTCCAAAAGTGATGATTCCCCACTAAACCCGGAAAAACAAAAAAAAACAATATTTCAGGTGGTTTGGTTCCTACCTGGTTCAATTGGGATAGGAGAACAGCCTCACGCATGTCACCGTGGACGAAGTCCATTTCACCATTCAGAAGCCCTCGCTGTAGATAGCGTTGCAACCATGGTTTCAACAGGGGTCCCTATACTTCCCATTTTTGTGGTTTTCAGCATCACCTCTTTTTTGCCCGTTTAAGGTGAGCTTCCCAAGGGGGTGATGTCCTGAGGGGAAGTGAACAATTTTTGAGCCCTGTTCCAATTCCAGCCCGTTGGCTGGATGTTGGATTCGTCAGCTCCGCAGGAGCCGCTTTCCAGGCGCGCGCAATTGCCTTGCGATCGCGAGCGCAGGGATTGGGGCGGCGAGATTTTGATGTTTCCACCATGGAAAGAAGGGGCGCTCTTTAGAAAGGCCCTAAGGTTTCTGGGAAAACACCCCTGAAGGTTGAAGGGACAGCTTTCTTTGCAGCTGAGCTTCAGCGTTTTTTTTTCTTTCGAATGATCCGTGCTCAGGATAAACGACCCCTAAAACGGCCAGTTGGAGCGTCAGTTTGAGGATGTTACTTTAGGGGCCCAGTCTGATTGCCCTTCAGAAGCTGGGTGAACATTTTGTGCGGACCTCCGGCCTTGGGGGTTTTTGTGTCACTAAACTCGGATTCAATGGGCTGTGGGTCAAAACCAATGGTACCATTTTGGGGTAGGTGCACCACCCATTTTAGTCGGGATTTTAGTGGGGATTGGGATGTTCACTGGGGTACGATTTGGATTTTGACCCATGGCCAATGAAGGGACTGCAACTCAACGACGGTGTTTCAACCGCGGGGGCCGGGGCTGAAGAGCGCTTCTGGCCCTCTGCAGGCTTCGCAGTTGGTGCTGCCTCTGTGCTTCCTGCAGCTCAGTAGGCCGAGCGACTCCAGTCGGAATCGTCGGCCAGGGGAAAGGTCCTTGATTTTCATGTGGCTCTGGGTCAAAACCAATGGTACCATTTTGGGGTAGGTGCACCACCCATTTTAGTCGGGATTTAGTGGGGATTGGGGTACGGGCTTTTCACCCATGGCCATGTGTTCGGGGTTCAATCCACCTTTTTTTTATATTATTATTTAACCCCTGGAAGGGTAATTGCCTGAAAAACATCGCCGAGTTGTGTGAACGCTTTTCTCCAGACACGAAGTACCTAAACAACAGCCAGCGGAGCAGGGAAAAAGCGATTGGCAGGTGGCAATCCAGGTGTGAAAAGTCTTTTGGCCGGTTGGTGAGTTCCCTTGTCTTCCGTCGGAAATACGTTCGCCCTGGAGGTCCTAGAATCACTCCGGCCTTGGGGACATACGGGGCTGACCCCAAGAGCGAAGGTTGGCGTTGGGTGTTGCACTTGGCTGAGTTTGGGCGGGAGTCGCAAGCGATCAGGTCATCCAAGGCATCGCAAACGGATCCCTGAAAGTAGAGATCTCCAAGAGATCAGGTGTGAGAAATCATGCAAAGATCTGGGGTACGTGGCTTTTAGAGACTGGTCTCCTTGGTTGAGAGGAAACTGTTTGTTTCTGCTTGCTTGTTTCGACTGAGTTGGGCACCTGGCACTTCATGTCGGACGAAAGCAGGGCCGGGGCGCTTACATTGTGGTTCTAAGCGTCTTTTTGTGGGCCAAATTCGACTGAGTGTTTACATGGGAACAACTCGGCAGAAAGAAAGAAAGAACACGTTTTGGAGATCTGTTTACATGGGAACAACTCGGCAGAAAATAAAATAAAATCACGTTTTGGAGACCTGAAGGGTGGAGTTCTTGATTCCTCAGCGCAACTCAGGTGCCGGCCTAGCCGCGCCTCCCGCGCTTCCCGCGCTTGCGCCTCTGGCGCCTGGCGTTCGCATGCACGGGGGCGCGTGCGCATGCGCCCGGGCGCCCGGAGGGCTTTGATGGGCTGCTCGATGTGGAATCGCTCACGGCAAATCCGAGTTGCATAGGTGTCCAACTTGTTTTTGTGGCGAGTTTGGGCGATGAAATGGAGGGGTTCCACTGGTCTAGATGGGTTTTCTGCCATCCGCCAGAGAAGCTCATCTACTTTTGCAGAAGGTCACCGACGGTTGCAAGGAGTTGGGATGAACTGGGGGCAAAGCTGACGCGGGGACCACATGCCTGGGTCCCTGCGGGCTGTATTGAGTGTAGGCGGTCAACATATCCAGTGGGGGACTCACTGAAGCTCAAAACAACACCACCAGCGACTTTTGCGATGATTGAGCAAAAAGCAGATGACGCATGTCTTGAGAACGTTTTTTTATTCGGAATTCGATGCCTATGTAAAGTAGCAATCTATCACTCTCTCTCTCTCTCTCTCTCTATCTCTGTACGTATATAGTTTTGGTTTTTAGTCTCCCCATATGGACCCCCAAAGGCCTACCTTTGTACTAGTGATACTTCTGTCACTCACATTGCGTGATGTGCATGATCTTTTCGTTTTCGGTGCATTTTCATGTTCCCGGGTTTCGGTGTTTTGAGGGGGTTCGTCAAAAGGGATGTGGTTTGTAGAGCTTGGACCTGAACGCGTCTTCCAAATCGTGATGGTGAGTTGGCGTCAGTGTCCATCTTGTTTGTCTCCTGACGCTTCAAAGGCGTGGTCGGTTTCCCTTTTCATGGTTGTTGTTGGGAAACATTTTGCATTTTCGCTTATCGGGGTTTCGTTGTTGAAATCTCCACTTAACTCCTGAAAAATAGAGTTTGTTTTGCTCCCCTTCCAACGTCAAACCAAGTATTTCCCGCCGTTTTTTTGGTTGGGTCAACGCCCCGTGTGAAAACGGGGCCCAAAACAAAAAAACGGGGCCAACCCAAAAAAAAAGGCAGTTTTTTTGGTTAACGCCCCGATTCAGGGGCCGAGCCAAAAAAGGAGGCCGTTTTTCCAAACGCGCGCCCAGCGCGGTGGAAACTCCTCCAGGCGCGGAGCCGGGTGCGGCCCTGCCTGCGGCCCAGATCTTCCGATCCCAAAGCGGAGTCAACGTCTGGGGGAAGCGCCCGGAACGGAGACAAGCCCATAGGTGCCCTTTTTAGGTTCATATTTTAATTTTAAAGGGGGGGGGATAGGTGTCCTTTTGATCGGTTAGTGTGGTCAAGAATAGGTTAGGCACTGGTTTAGGTGGGTTTGATGCCACATTTACTTGCAAAAAGGACACCTATGGACAAGCCACTGGAGGTATCCCTTCGATCCATTTTCAACTCTTGGTTATTCTTTGGGTGGTTTTTGTTGGCTAGGTCCCCTTCGACCCATGTTCAACTCGTTTTCAGACTGGGTGGTCTTGGCTAGTTTTCGATCCATGTTCAAGTCTTGGTTTCTCGACGGAAGGTTCTTGGTTAGCTCAGGCTGAAAAGGAACCGGGCTAGGGTGACTGTTTGTGAGCTGGGCGCGTGTCTCCATTTTTGGGACCCCCAAAAAGCGTTTTGTGTCCCCTGCAGTCTCCGAATTTTTCGATTTTTGACCATGGAGGTTGCCCGGACCCCTCTCCTATGGGAATGGGATATGGTCCTGTTTGAGGTTAGCCTGAGGGTCCATCTGGGACCCTTTTGAATCAGATTTCTGGCTTCTTGATCATGGGTTTCGGGGAGACAATGGTCATTTCAGAGCCATACCCACTAGTCGCTAGCTTACAATGACTCGCCTGCGAGTGGGCTCTGAATCAGAATATTGTGATTGAATCAGATTCGTGGAGAAGTGACCTTCAACAAACACACACACACACACAAAGAACAAAGTGAGTGGCGGGTTCTTCTTTTGGTTTCCCTTTACAGCACCCCACAAAAGAGCAAAGTTGGTGCGCCAGAACTCCTTTCAGCGCCACTTGAGCGTCTGAGAGCGGGCTAGGACGCAGGAGCCCTGGCGCCTGGTCCTGCCGGCGCTCGGGGGCCTAAATTCGGAGCTCCCAAAGTGGGGCAGTTCCAACAGGTGGTGGATGGGTCGCGAAAAGGGTTGTCCCTTTGGGTTTGTCCGGTTTGGCAAAGAAAAAAGGTGGGGTCTAAGGGACTCAGATGGTGGGTGAATAACAGGGGTAACCCCAAAATGACTGGCACTTGCGGTCTGGGTTAATGTTGACCCATGCCCAACATGGGAATGGCTGGCGGCTTCCGCGTGCCTTCAAGACCAAAAGCCCCTTCAAAGCCAGGGGTTCTTTTGGGTTGTGTGGGATGCCAAGGCCGACGATATATAAGCTTGTAAGGCACCATATGGCTGTGGGTCAACACCAAGGGTACCAGTTTGGGGTAGGTGAATTCACCCACTTTAGTCGGGATTTTAGTGGTTGGATTGGTTGATGTTCACTGGGGCACGATTCGGATTTTGACCCATGGTTAATGAAGGGACTGCAACTCAATGACGGTGGCCAATGGGGCTAACCGGGCTTTTGACCCATAGCCATAGAAGCTTGTAAGGCACCGCATCATTTCCCCGAAGCCGGGGAAGCGAAAAAACGCAACGAGCTGAAATGGATCTTTCGGTTTCCGTGATTTGGTTCGGGTCCGGGTGCGCGAGGAGCTTTCCTGTGCCGGATTTGGTTCATCGGTCAAGGCTCCAAACAGTGCGTGATCACTAAGTGTTGAAGAGGTTGCTCAACCGTTTCCGACCGAGCCTGCTGGTATTTTTTGGGTTCCAAAACGGGGTTTTGGGAGTTTCAACGTAGGGTAGAGAGTCCAAAGACAGCCCAGTGGTTTCTTCAAAAACCAAGAGGAAAATTGCTAAGGGTCATGACCCTCCAGACCCCCGGACCCTCCAATGGAGAACCCCGACCAATTCCTCAATGGCCCTCAACAACAACAACCCATTTGGAGAGCCCCAAAACAGTCGGGACCCTTGGGGTGGTTACCTACTCCAGCGGCGAACCCCCTCATCCACGCCTTCCTTCGCCTGAGACTCCGAGAGGTTGGCTGCGAGCCTCGTGAGCTTCGCGCTGTACCCCTCCGTGTCGCTGCTGGCGCGACGACAATTAAGCGGTTTTCGGGTCGCGGGCCGGCGGCGGTAGGTTGCTGCTTGTTTTTTTCTTTATTCGAGCGGGTTGTTTTCTGCACGTTGGAGTGGTGAAAACGACGGGAACGGTCGTTTCAGGGTTGCCGGGCGGCTTATTTTTCTTGTCTTGCGGTGATAACGACGGCTTGCTGGAGCCTTGCTGTCTTCTCGGGTGAAACCGCGGATCCGGCGAAGCCAACCTGTGCCGAATTATCGCTTTGTTTTCTAGGTCCCTGAGTAGTGCCCTTTTACCAACTTTTTTGGGGGAGGGTCCTACTAAAATTGAGTACAGAAAAACATCGGGTACCCTTATTCAGGGCTCCTTAAAAGACACATTTTGCCACCATTTGAAACATGTTGCTTTTTCAACCACCAAAATCTACGGGAAGCCAGCATTTACAAGTTGCAATGCTCAGGATAATGCATCCGGCTCCCTGTTCAGTTTTCGGAACCTAGGTCCCCTGCCCTTCTCTCCCCTTGAAGTTGGGGGACGGGTACCAACTTCTTCCAGCCCGGGGACCTGGGATTCAGGAGGTTTTTTTGGTGTTGGGGGCATTTTGGCCCGATTTTCGGACCCAGTGGGCTTGCTGACTGAGACCGGGGCCCTCTCTCTCTCTCTCTCTCTCTCTCTCTCTCTCTCTCTCTCTCTCTCTCTCTCTCTCTCTCTCTCTCTCTCTCTCTCTCTCTTTTTCGTTAGAAGACCTGTTTTGTGGTTGACAAAGGGGCTTCCTGAACCTTCCAAAACCGACCTTGCGGCCTTGTGGCCTTGATCCGCCCTTTTTCCTCGATGGGAAAGAAGGTCCGGTTTTTTGCTTCAGGATCCTGAGATGGGCAGCCGCGTTTCTTCGGGGCGCCGGGTTGCCAGTGCCCCCCTCGCAACCAACCCTGGCAGGTGGCGTCCCAACTGGACTCGGTGGCCTTGGTTGTCATCAAGGGGGACGCCGGGGAGCCCCAGGCAGCGGAACCTCACCTCGACCCAGCGGGTGTTCCACTTTTTTTGTTGTTTCCGCCTCCCTTCCCCAAAGGAACAGTGGCCCCTCTAAGAAAAAATCTGCAGGTACGTGACTTTTTCCATTTTTGTTTTCCGCCTCTTCCACGGGGGGGTAAATTCTAGGGGTACCTTCTCCATTCTGAACCCAGGGATCCTTAGAAACCTTAGGAAGCCCGGGGAGAGCGGATCCGGTGTGAAAGAACCATGGTTGAAAAGAATGGATCAGGACTCAGCCCCTAAAAACATGGCTCCTGTACGGGGAAACTGGAAGATCTCCAGAAACCCCTCCAGTTGCTATGTGAGTGGGAGAGGGGTGGTCGTTTTTAGATGGCGAAAGCTGTTGGGCTTCCTGCTTTTTTGACCTTAGTCGGTCTGGAGGTTGGGTGTCAGCCCAGTCACGGCAGGATTGCTTGAATCGGATTTGGTCCTGAACCACTCCCTATGTAAATGATGTCCACCAAAGGGTCCCCAGTTCACATTCGAGTTTCCCCCTCTGGCCTTTCGATTCTTCACATTTCTGGGGCTTGATCAAGACGATTTTTTGGTTTGGATTCACTCACGCGACCCACCTTAGCCACTCCACAAAAGATCTGGCCATGGGCCAAAACCCTGTCCTGTACCCATGGTGAACATCCCAATCCCCACTAAAATCCCGACTAAAATGGGTGGTGCACCTACCCCAAAATGGGATCCCAAAACGGTTTTGACAACCGCAGCCGTATGTCTTCACTTGGGTGCGGTGTCGACGGCAGAACGTTTTGCCGGCGCTGCGATGGCAGCAATGGCTCGGCTCCGGAGGAGTCAGGTGAGTAGCGCCGGAACCGACTCCCAGGGCCATTGTAGGTTCCATCTGGTTTTATGGGGTAGTAAGGCTCATGTTAACTCAAATATTGCTTCCCTTTGGCCACCAACCACCAGGAAGCTCCCACTTTCTTGGGGACCGCACCCGTGGCACGTTGAGTTTTTGGCTGGGTAAAACAGCTAGCAACCATGCTGACAGAGAAGAAGTGAATGGGTTACCGTTTTTTGGTCACCAGTGCAATTTTCACAACCCATGCAAACCTGAACAACCCGCGTTGGCAAAAGCCGCCAGCTCAGGTTCCGAGCACTGCTCACTTGGTTTTAGGTCAAACAAGTCTTTTCTTTTGAAGGGGTCGCTACTGTGGATGGACGAAATCCTGCAACACCTAAGAAGCCCTGGAATGATCATTCCCGTGTAAATCCCAGTAAATCATAGTTTCCCATGGTATCAAAGTGGTGCGAAATGGATTTTGCCCATCCACCGTATGGGTTGTCCGGGGTTGTCCGTTGGAGGGTAAAAAAAGCAGGTGGCTGTGGGTCAAAAATAGGAACCCGACATGGAACCCTGGTCAATGGAAAACAAAGACTAAAACCTGCGGTCCACTGGTTTAATTTTGACCTACACCCCAAAAGTTAAACTTTTTGCAGGGGGTCAACAGCAACCAAGGTTGGGGTTGTCCGTTGGAGGGTCAAAAAAAGTGGTGGTGTCTTGGACTGAGGTGTCCCAATTCATGCAGAACTTCTTCAACTTCAACAGCTTGCTCTTCTCCTTCTTCATCTCCCAGACCTACGCGTCGCTGTATCAGCAGCAGGCCGGCTGTTTTTTTGGGTTTATTTATTTTTTTCTCGCGAGCCGGCGGTGCGTCCCCCGAATCTGGATCGACATGTTCGAGGGACAAAAGAAGACGTGTTGAAGAGGTGGCGAAACTTGGGGGCCCTTGGGATGGCAAAGTAAGTCAAGAGGAAGAGGAAGCCATGACCATAGGTGGCCTTGGTTGATTAGGTTAAGATAGTAGATGGCGGTTCCTGGTTTTCCTCTTGGTTTAATCAAGGGACACCAAAAGGAAGCCATGACTCTCGTGCTTTTGTGATACTCCAGCCACAGACCAGCAACCCAAACATCTGGATCGACCAAAATCGCGGCGATCGATCTGCAGTTGGGATGGATGAAAGCCGATGAATAGACCGGGACAAAACCGATGCTGAGCCTTAGTCGAAGCCGGGGTTGTTGGAGAGGGGACAGCTCGACCCGCAAAATGGGCCGCGCGGTTGCTTCTTTATGGATTTGGGTAGGCCTCTTTTCATACCAGGTTTTGAGTTGTGCCGAAGGGCGTGGATCTTGTGCACCCATCGCAAGTAGGACGCCCCAAACAATGGTTGTATCCCTTGGCTTGCTGATAACAATCCTTTTTCCCACACCACATGGGTTGATCGAAAGGCCCTTACTTGAGATGATCACTTGGAGAAAAACCGCCAAAAAGAGACAAGTTTACCCATGCTTGGGGATGAATTGAACCCCTGAACAATTGCTTGGAAGGGCTTCAGCGCACTGGGAACATCTGGGAACATCCGTGTGTTGACGGCATCCACGAGTACCCCTCTGCTTTTTGTTTCAGGTTTCTCCTTGGTTTGGGCTTCAGCGGACACCAACAGGAACACAGTCAGCATGATCCGGAGTTCAAGTCGCCAAGCCCAAGGGGCCAACCCTCAAAAGGTTCGCCTCCCAAACCCCCTCACAGATTTCTGTTTTTGGCTGTTTGAAGGCATGCTCGTCTGGGGAAATGACCTGGCCCAGGAAGGTTTGTAGGGACGGCCGCTCCACTACCCAGGAAATCAGAACGAGCTCCAAAGTGGGCTGATCCCATTCACCACTGTAACAACTAACCTCTGGCCCCCTGAAAATCAAAACGTGGAACTCACTTGGAAATCCAGTTTGGCAACCATATTTAGTGGTTTCCCAGGTGATATCACCAGTCCACCAAGCGCACGTGAGCATAGGTGTCCTTGACTTTGTTTGCTTGGACCTAGCTGGGTTTCACCGGTTTAGCTGGGGAGGGACAAATCACAAGTCCGGTTCGGGCGTGACTCGCTGGCAGTCAAGCGCCAGTGCTTGGCGCTTTCTTTCTCGCGGGCGCGCAGGAGAGCTTGTACGTGGCCCTCTATGCCGAAATCTCCGAGGAGGGGATCGCGGGAGGGGGATCGCTGGACCGATTCGTTCCCCGGGGTTTCTCCGGATCGCTCTTGGCCTCCGGGCTGTTGCGTGGATCAAGCCCTGATTTTTTTTGCGTCGCAGGGATCATGCGGCAAAAAAGAAATCCAGGTTTCTGCTTGGGTCGTGTTGCATCCTTGGCCTTGACTACTGCGGATGGACGAAATCCTGCACCAGTCTGAAACCACGGAAAACCAGTGTTTGTTGGTTTTTACAGGCCAATCATCATTCGAGGGTTTCTTAGGTGGTGCAGGATTTTGTCCATCCACAGTATGAGCAAAGCTTAGTTGACGAAATCCCAGGTGCCGGGTTGAACATTGGCCAAGTACTGCGGATGTTTACAACATCCATGCCGATGGTCGCACCAGTTGGGTGTGCTGTTTAATTTTTGATCAACCGGTACTCAGATCGGGGTTGCTTCACTTTGGGTGCGGAATGGATTTCGTCCATGCGTATGAGCAACAGGGAGTCAGTTTGCGTGGACGAGAAGGGGGGATGCCCAAAGTTCCAAGGAAAGAAAAGGGTTCGTCTACGGTTCATGTTGGGGATGAGTTCTGATTTGTCCATGGCCCCTTTATCCCGGGCTTATGATGGGCTAATCTCATTCGGCTGGAAGACCAAAATCCATGGTTCCCTACTTTGGCACATAGCCCAATTCGGTTTGTCTCAATACTGGGAACCCCGGATATTGGCGCGCCTTTCAAGTTAAAAGGCCGCAAACGTGATTGGACATTAATCCCTACCAAACATAACATCCACCAAAGAACTCCCTGATTCACATCCACTCGTCATTTTTCCCTCCCTCCGGGCACCCCGCATCTGAGCGTCATCCGCAGGCCAGGTCTTTGCTGGAGCAGCTGACGCTGGTCTCGCAGAATAGGCCTCGGGGAAGAGAGTGCCGTAGATTGGTACCTGGAGTCTCCTTATCGGCCCCTTTTGGCCAATGACCCTATTTCGGGGTTCCCAGCCATCCCCTTAGGCTTTTAGGTTCTTTTTGTCCATTTAAGCCACTAAAAGTGCGTGCTGCTGTCTTGTTGCCGTTTTTTGTACGGTGGCTCGCATCGCAACACCCAAAACAAACCACTAAAAGTTAAACCTTTTGATCCGACAACGGACCGCCCAGATTTCTGAGGCTAGGCTTCGAACCTCTCAGCCCGAAAGGTCTGTAAGCGGAGCGCTAGGCCGAGCTACGGATCCATGCTGGCGAGCATGCCGCAGCCCAAGACGCCTGGGAAGCGGAAAGTTGTGACGGAGTGTGACTGCTGGGTTTATGTTGACCCCGGAATCATAAGCCCCTAGGTTTTTAGTAGGCTCAGGGACACCCCATATGAACAAACTGGGGTGGATGAATCCGGGGTCAACATCGTCAAAGTCAGAACATGGTGAGGGGGGGCTGTTTTTGGTAGAAGAATGGCCTTGGGAGTTTAGATAGTTTAGATGACAATCCTGAACGGCAAGCAATGGTGGTTATATTAACCCAACCATTGCTTTACTGGTGGTAGAGGTTCAGGGGATGTTTTTCAATGGCAGCCAACTCAATTCGTCCGCCGTCATGTTAGGGACTGTAAGGGCGCATTTGACGGTTCCTAGACATGAACCAATTCAGTATTGATCAATCGGGATGCAGCAGTTGCCTCCCCCCGAATTTGGGAGAGTAGCCCCCAGTCCGTGAAATCTTTTAGTTTCCCTTTAAAGCCGCCACAAAAAGGGGTACTCCAACGAAGAGAGGTTTTGTGTATGTTTTATTCAGTGTTTCCCCTAGGACATGGGAACTTGGTTGCTTCCCGTTCGGGAAGCAATTCCTCCCTAGGGTGTCCGTTGCCAGGGGGCAATTGGACCAATCCCGTGGAGTTTTGAGCGCTAGTTGAACGATCGCACAAAAGAAGAATGGCACCAGGGCGACACGTAAACCTAGAAAGCGTTTTTTTGGGTGTTTCCAAGAATGGGGGAGCCCTTACAAATGGCAAACAAACAAGGCACCCAACCAAAACAGCACCTGGCTAAGTAGAACCAAAGACTAAAAAACCAGCGGTTTGCATATAGCTCTTGAATTTTGAGAAGCACCCAATATGCTTTCTGTTTTGTCCTGGGTTGCATTTCCTTCTCGTGGGCATCTTCCAATTTATTGCATGTTGAAGGTGAACCAAGAAAAACATATAAGACAGTGTCACCTACATAAACCCGTACCCTGCAGCTTACATGAGTCGAGCTGATCGTACTTCAGCAACCAACCAACCAACCAACCAACCAACCAACCAACCAACCAACCAACCAACCAACCAACCAACCAACCAACCAACCAACCAACCAACCAACCAACCAACCAACCAAACAAACAAACAAACAAACAAACAAACAAACAATCACACCAACCCCAGCCTCAAGGCTAAGGGGAGCAAACCGCTTCCACCCTTCCCTTCTGGTTTGGATTGGTGGTTTGGATTTGGATTTGACTCCCAGGTTCTTTAGAGGGTAAATGGGGTGTCCCACCCCGGGACGCGAAGCCAAACCACCGATTTGGCTCCACAGAACCCAAGTGAAGGGGAGCACCCCCCCTCCTCCCCCCAAAAAATAGTAAAAGGAGAATTCAAAGAACTATTCTTTCTACTATTTTTTTCCAACAGCAACACAACAAACAGAAAACAAAATCCAGAACAACAAGCAAACAAAATAAATAATCACAACCAACAACAAAAATATTTAATCACAGCATGCAACATTAAATAATTCAAACAAGCATACCAACAAAACAGCAACACTCTAAATCATCAAAGAACCCAAACTCAAAAACACACATCAACAAAAAACAAAGCAGCATACCAACAAAAATTATCACAAGAGTATCAAACAAAATAAAAACAAACAGCCAAAGAACGAAAAAATTGAAGAAGCATACCAAGTCTAAACAACGCACTTTGAAAGAGATAAGCAAATTATAATAATTCAATCTTTACAAACGATAAATATATTACAATTATAACATATAATAGTTTACATGTGATAATCATAGTATGGTTTTAAAAAACTCATATCTCAAGACAGATAATAATACTGCTGTCCTAAGGATTGTTCTATTCCATTTAGCAGTAGACCACTTTACTGAAAACAGTAGACCACTTTTCTGAAACCAGTAGGCCACTTACTGAAAACAGTAGACCACTGTACTGAAAACAGTAAGCCACTTACTGAAAACAGTAGACCACTTTACTGAAATCAAAATCCTCAATCCACAAAAATCAGTGATTTCACCACCAAAATCAGTAATTTCACCACCAAAATCAGTGATTTCACCACCAAAATCAGTGATTTCACCACCAAAATCAGTAATTTCACCACCAAAATCAGTGATTTCACCACCAAAATCGGTGATTTCACCACTATCAGTTCATTAGTTGCACCAGAACCGGTAGCCACACACACACACCAATACCGATAGCCCCACACACCAATACCGCTAGCCGCACACACCAATACCGCTAGCCGCACACACCAATACCGCTAGCCGCACACACCAATACCGCTAGCCGCACACACCAATACCGCTAGCCGCACACACCAATACCGCTAGCCGCACACACCAATACCGCTAGCCGCACACACCAATACCGGTAACCACACACACCAATACCGATGGACATACACACCAATTTGGCATGTATTCATTTTGGCTGGGTTTTCAAGTTTCAAGCCCAACCCCAAACTTAATCCACCAAACTCACCAAGATTTCACAAATTAATTCGCTAGGTATTTTATATAGGTCTTCCTGTTTATGTATTGTTGGATTGTCTCCCCATTTTTCCTTGTTTCCATTTGGCAGTCTCTGCGCAGTTTCAATATGTCTATTATTCCTGATGTTACCACAATCCTTTTTACATAAATCTCTAGGTTTCCAAGTTGTAATGTTATTCCAGAGCCTAGTGCGTTTTCTGTAAGGCATTCCATATTTACAATAATCAACATCTTTAAATTCAAACTCATCCATAAACTCCTGATTTTTTAATAATCCAGTTTGTGGATTTTCGATTACAAAATATTTAGGATTGAAATATTTGATAATCTCAATAGTTTTTAAGACAATATTATTTGCATATTCGATATTCCTAATTCCCCTAGTTTTTGCTATGCTGTATTCAGTGCATGGGGGACTACTCCAAATAAAATCAAAATGGTTTCTGTCAAACTGTTTGTAATCCCACTCCAAAATATCAGTGTTGATATCAGCATTTTTTAAGTCTAATGATATTACATTAAATCCAAGCGACTTTGCTATGGTTCCAACGCTTTTTGTTCCGCTAAATAATTCTAATAAATTCATATTATTAGAATTACTTAGATATTAATTATTCAAATAATACATATACTCCATCATCATTTTTTGAAATTTTGTAAAATTCTAAAGTGGTGCTTTTAGGTTGTTTGATTTTTCCTGTATTCAACATATCACAGTATTTCTTTTGCTTTGTAGGATAATCACCCGTTGGTCTTCCTATAGATTTTGCTTGAAATATCTTTTCGATTTTTTCTTTATCTTCATTGCGTTCAACTGGTTTCATTTTGTCATCAATCGATTTAATCATATCATTTAAGGTTTTGATATTTTTACCAATTAATGTTATCTTCTTCATTAAATCATTAATAGTATAATTCTCATTTTCAGACATTACTATATATTTATTTAGATAATTATTTATTTAATTATACAATTTACCTGAATAATTTAATGTTATATATGTAAATAAATTATATTCTAAGAGTCTTTCATCAATTTTATTTTTCAATTTTATTAAACCTTCATCGTTACCTGTAATTTCAAAAAACTTCAACATTTTATCAAATTTATCTGGTTTAGTTATACCTTTCATAAAATATTTATTATTAAATTTAGCATCTAACCAATAAAAATATTCTATACTCAATTGTCTAGCAAAGTTTTTATCACCATCGAATAGGTCTTTAATTTCTTCATTGTCAAAAGTTATAATTCTATGGTCTTGTCCATTCATAGTTGGCATTATGATTATATAAATAATTAGATATTTATTTAAATATTTATTTATTTATATTTATAAAGTGCAATTATGTTAAATCTACTCTTTAAATACTAATTTTTCATGATTTGTTTAACAGTTTCCTGAGTTTCGTTTTCATTATTATCGGTTGGTGTTGCTTGCCTACCAAATTTAAAAGTTATACTATGGACATCAGTTTCTAAGTTGATACTGTCTTTAGTTTTATCAATATTCATTTTCTTATCATTTTTACTTATTTTGAAACTTGTTGGAATACATGAACATTTACATGATTTATTATTTTTTATTTCTAATTCATTTTTAAGTTCTAACCTCTTTTTGCACATAGGACAAGCAATCTCAAATACTGATGTTTCTTTAACAATTTCTCCGCTATCTTCATCTGTTGAAGAAACACTTAAACCTGTCTTATTCTTTTTGGTTTTCTTTTTTGGCATTTATATTAATATTTATATTTTTAATATATTGTATCAAAAACTTAATTAATTCTAAAATAAAATAACATATTTTTTTACATCTATTATCAGTTATGACAACCCGTTCTATATTTTCTACTTCATTTATTATATCAATATAATCCGAATAACTCATATTCATATAAATAATAAGATAAAATAGTTATTTAATCTTATTATTTTCATGCATAATAGAATATTGGTGGGGCACAGCACTTGGGGTTTTCATTGCACACGCGAGAGAGATACAAACTAATTAGCTTCAATGCTTATTGATTGTAGCAATGGAAAACCTGTTCCATTTTATGATATTCGCCACCAGCATATCATAAAACGATGTTCCCTTAATATTAAATAGAATTTGTATTTAAAGTATTTTCTTTAGTAAGTTTTACTGCAGTTGATATACTAACATCTAGAATATTATTATTAATAATTTCTTGTACACTATTTATCATGACATTTGTATATGTATCAGGACAATCTTTCATAAAATTCACTAATTTATTATAATTTAGGCTATCCTCGTTTTCGATTGATGATTTAGATATTATAATATTTTGTTTTTTAATTATCGATAAAAACAATAAAATCGTATTATAATATATTTGGCCAGTATCTGGAACTAGAATATCACCAAATTTATATATAGTTCGAATACTATCTACTTCACTTAAATTAATAGACTCTATATAGTCTATTGTCATTATGATATAATCTTATTATATTTTATTATTTTATAAGTATTTATAATATTATTTTTATTATGCCTGATGTAAAACCAATTGATGAAATCAAATATGACTTTAAGCAAAGTAAGCACGAGGTCGTCCCTAAATTGCCTATGAGAGCTATGATTGTCGGTCCATCTGGAAGTGGAAAATCAACTTTACTTGTATCAATGATACTTGATATTTATAGAGGAGCATTTGAAAGAATTTTTATCTGGTCTCCATCTGTAAATTTAGATAGTATTTGGTTGCCTGTTAAAAAATACATTAAAGAAGGTTTGAAAGTAGATAATGATAAAGAACCGTGTTGGTGGGATGAGTTCAATGTTGAAGATTTAGAAAGAGTTATAGAAACTCAAAATAAAATAATTGAATACCAGAAAAAACAAGGAACGAAGAAATTATTTAATATTTTGGTAATTTTGGATGATGTATCTGATAATCCAGCAATAACAAGAAATAACAAATTGTTAAATTCTTTATTTTGTAGAGGTCGTCATAGTGGAATATCAACACTTGTAAGTCTTCAAAAATCATCAACCGTACCACCAATTATTAGGGTAAATATAAGTCATTTGTTTTATTATAAAGTTAGAAATTTTAAAGAGATAGAAATATTGCAAGATGAATTATCAGCAAT